TTCGTTTGGAAGGAATACGTAGGTTACAGATGGCTACAATTTAGAATTTGTTAGATGTATACAGGATGTCCCACATAAGAGAAAATATACAAAGTTATATTATTTTTAATGGAACACTCTGTTTTTTATTTTAGAATTAAAAACTACATCAAAAATAATGTCAGTTAACTAAAGGTTTCCTATTACTATTATTATTAGTTTTCGATTTATTTGAATTCTTAAGGAAAAAAAGTCTCCCAGAAATGAATTGTTTACTCTTGTTTGAATAATTTTTAATGAACTAATTTTTTTTTCTTATGTGGGACATCCTGTATACATCTAACAAATTTTAAATTGTAGCCGTCTGTAACCTACGTATTCCTCCCAAACGAATTTTTTATATCTTTGGTCGTTTTCCCATAAAGCTCCGTCCCGTTGAGCGTGAGCCACCCTGTAGATAAGACTTATAGCTGTTCTTAAGAACTACTGAGTATCTCTTATAAGAAAAATTTATAACATATAATAAATATGCTGTAATAATATTAATATAACAATATTATAGTGCTATTTTGTTTTCAATAGCTAAATTGCATCATTTGCTATAATTATGAGTCAATACTGAATTTCTAAAACAACTATAAAAGCTTTATAAGAATTGAATGTTTTATAATTCAAAGGTTATAAGAGAAGTGTGTTGGTTGGGATGGTTTTCCTTTTCTAGGAATGTAACCTTGACGTGTTGAGAAGGCTTGAATGCTTCAATTACTTCAAAAATTTAAGCCAGACTAATACATTACACATACATTACAAATAACAGTCGTACAAGCATTTTAGTAACATCCTACATTGACTTTTAATATTCAATGCAATATCTAAATACTACAAGTAAATAAAATAATGGATGATATAGTTTTATGGCGATTTTCATTACAAGTCGTGAATAATTCTTTGGGATCAATTTCGTAAGTGTTGCCTTTAAAATTAATTTTGTCCACGACCACTTAATAATGAATCAATATTCTACCTCCTAACTAAAAGCATATGGTACCCATATATCACGGAGTGAATTATGATAATTCACGCTTTTGTAATTCTGGCACATTCCGGTAGATAACTAAAGATAGGCGATACTTTCCATAACGATATTTTCTAGTTGAAAAATCAAAAAATAAAAAAATCGAAAAATCGAAAAATCGAAAAATCGAAAAATCAAAAAATCCAAAAATCGAAAAATCGAAAAAAATCGAAAAATCGAAAAAAAATCGAAAAAAATCGAAAAATCGAAAAAAATCGAAAAAAATCGAAAAAAAATCGAAAAAAATCGAAAAATGGAAAAAAATCGAAAAATCGAAAAAAATCGAAAAAAATCGAAAAAAAATCGAAAAAAAAATCGAAAAAAATCGAAAAATCGAAAAAAAAAAAAAACGAAAAAAATTGAAAAAAAAATCGAAAAATCGAAAAAAAAATCGAAAAATCGAAAAAAAATCGAAAAATAAAAAAAAAAAAATAGAAAAATCGAAAAACATTGACAAATTGAAAAATCGATAAAAACGAAAAATCGAAAAGTCGAAAAAACAACAGTTAGTTACCTATGTTTTATTTAATAAAGAAACCATAATGGTCGTGGACAAAGTATAGTATTAGACTCGCAATTTATGGTCATTATTCACTCGGGTGACTTGCGCCCATTGCCTACGGCTCGGGACGCAAACGTCACCCTGCGTGAATAATGGCTACCATAAATTGCTCGTTTAATAATATACTATTATTGCTATTTATTAAATAATCGAAGAAGGCAATTATGCGAATAATGTGTTCATATTTAAATACGTATAACATTTCCTCTATATAAATAAAAATTTCCTTGGTTTATTCGGTCATGTTTTTATTTTCTATCATTACAGGTACATTACAGGTACAGGTACAAGCACTAAATATGATTCGGAAAACATTTTTTACCATCTTCTGGTGGAGTCAAAATTTAATAAAACATAGGGGAAGATTACAAACAGTTTAAACATTTTAAAATAAGAGAAACCCTTTTTTTTTGTTTTTCAGCTTACCAATTCATGTACTAGTGTACTATTTATCCTCGATTTGTGTACTCTTTTCCTACAATTTGTGTACTATTTGGAGCAAAGTTTGTACTAGTGCACAAAATTTTCCCAGCGGTTTACCCCTCGGATAAGATATTTGTTTTTGAAAAATAAAACAGACGATGAGATCAAAACTGAAATGAACGATGTTTATGGGAAATTTCCACCTTGAAAATTACAAATTTTAATAATACGAGGTGATTTAAAAGATGACCATATAATCACAAATAAAAAAATTACTAACATCTATAAAAAAAATGATTGTAACATCAGCCTGATTACATCTACGTTTTTTTCTTAGATACAGAACTGTACCAGTTATTAGTTCCTATCAGTTTACACATTTTCAATTATTAATGTGGCCGTATAGTCAGGTTTTTGCGGTTCAATTTCCATTCTAGATATCAAGTTATTACGGTTTAAATGAAATTCTCCACGTAAGCGTAAGTAACAAGCCGAGTTCTAGCACGTAGTCGTTTATTTCGAATCTTGCTTCGTTTATTTTCAATTGCTAAATCGCCTCGTTCGAAATTTTATTGTAAACATTTTTTTATCTCTGGGCTTAATTTCGGAAAGTTCATTAACCAATAGTTCATAAAATGATTTTAATAAACACATTTTGATTGCATAGGCGTGTTAAGGTTTCCAGATGGATTTTGGAATTTCCATTTAGCATACAGATAGAGAAACCTTCTATATTCCAAAAATTAAATCATTTCCTTGATATTTTAAGCCGTCTTTGAGTTATTGGCTAAAATGTAAATTCAATAATATGTTTTGTATTAGTCAGGTCGCAAAATGATTTTCTAAAAGTGGTAAAAGATAGAGATGAGCGGTCTGAAGCATTAAAATCTATCAAAGAACCCCGCACAAATCTTATGGAAATTGGCTTCCGGTAAATATGGCTGAAATTTGGATATTTTGTTCTTTTCGGCATCCTGAGCAAAAGTCTCAATGGGCACAAAGCTCAATTTTGCTTATTTTAGCTCCTACGGAGCTCCAAAGCTCCACGGATTGACCGTTATTTACTACTTAAAAAGGCAATCTCCTCGAAAGTTTAGTATTTGCTGCGTTAAAAAAGAAATACCTTCTTATGTTTTCGGAGTCGCTGCATTCAAATCCAATGCCATTATAATAATATTGACAGTTGACAGCTTTCAACTAGCTGTCAAACAACAAGCAATAATCAAAATTGGTAAAATCCACATCTAAATATCTGTTTTTGAGGTTGGTAAGTTCAAAACTGATGTTAACAACTCGATATTAATAGTTGACAACTATCAACTAACTGTCAAACAGTATGTGACAATTAAAATTGACAAAATTCAGGAGTAAATAGATGTCTTCGAGGTTGCTGAGTTCAAAACTGATGTTAACAACTCGATATTGACCGTTAACAGCTGTCAACTAACTGTCAAACAGCATGTGACAATTAAAATTGATAAAATCCATATGTAAATATATGTCTTCGAGGCTGCCGAGTTCAAAATTGATGTCAAAAAGACGATATTGACAGTGATCAGCTGACAACTAACTGTCAAACAGCAAAATTAATAAAATCCACATGTAAATATATGTTTTTGAGGCAGCTGAGCTCAAAACTGATGTTAACAACTCGATATTGATAGTTGACAGCTATCAAATAACTGTCAAACCACCACAATATTTATTTCTACCGTCGGCGTTAGCGTTACCCGATGTACACCACGTGGAGGTCGCGCGATCAGATTTTGTACATCTTTCTATGATTTCACGATATTTTTTATCAACCTATTTATAATACAGGACGATATATATCGCCCTACTTTAGGAATAGTTAAAGAAAAATTAGCACGAACTCCGATTTGAGTCTTTTAGATTTTTATCAATGCATTTAGGAAAATATAATGTGATATTACAGTTTAATTATCGTGGACGGTTTCTTGCATCTCGAATAGTATTAACGATACTAGTTGATGGATAACGAATATTAGGTTCGTGCCTTGCATATCCTAAGAACCATAGGACACTTGCAACATGGGCACAAGTACCAACAGTACGAGCACCGGACGGACAAGTGCAATAATAACCGAAAATGGGCTCTTCGTTCCTGTTAAATTCATAATCTTCCTCGTTTTTTTCAATCTCATCAATTGGTTTAAAGGTGATGCAAAGCTGATGTTTCGTGGCATTTCGGAATCGAGAATAAACTCTAACTCTAAGCAAACCACGCTCGGACAAGTTGTTCTCTCCTCTAAGCATTTCAAACTGAAACTCTTCATCTGCGTTTCTTTGGAACTTGTCTTGCACGTAAGAGGGTGCAAGCCTTACTTGATATACCCCAATGGTCGAATCTTGTATATATTGTGGTGGTTTGATAGTTATTTGACAGCTGTCAACTGTCAATATCGAGTTTTTTACATCCGTTTTGAACTCAGCTGCCTAAAAAACGTATATTTACATATTGTTACATGCTGTTTGACAGTTAATTGACAGCTGATCACTGTCAATATCGTCTTTTTGACATCAATTTTGAACTCAGCAACATCGAAGACATAAACCGTTTTAATTTGACCGGGAGCCAATTTCCATAAGATTTGAGCGGTGTCTTTGTTCTAAATTTTTCGAGATATACCGGGCGACTAAAAAAATTATTAACAGAAAAACGGAAACAAATTTTAATGGTTTCAGATAGAAAACCACAGGTCATAACAAAAAAAAATTGTATGATGCTGAAATTTTCCAAAAATAAACAAGTTACATAGAAAACTCAAGCGTAAAAGATTCTTGCAAACACATGTCAGACTTTTTAATATTGGCGTTACAATCCAAACAAAAAAAAAATCCAAATGTTCTTCTAATAAGTCTGTTGCGGTATTTATAAAAGCCAGATCAATTTTGCAAGTTGATTGCAAGGATTTTAAAGTTAAATCTAATCGGACTTACTTTGAATACAGCTGTCGTACCACACTGCGAAATTTTCTCTGCACACACATGTTTCATTTTTGCAATAGGTATCTATGGTTCCACAATCATCGTTCGACAGACAAGCTCCATGAAGGGCTGATCCTGTTAATAAAATTTTAATAATGTATGGTTCTAATGGTTATTAAGTTTTCGAATAATTTTAATATTCTGTAATTGTACCAAATGGCGTTTAATCAAGTTGTTGCAGGAAATAAAATATCATAATTAGGCATTCCAAACAATATGGATACCAGTGGGTTTTAACAGGTTATGATGTGATCTCTGATGATGTGGTTATGCTATGGCAACCTTGTGGATCTGGTGAATTGATATAGACTATAGTAGAGACGACATAAACACTATTTTGCGATACGACAAATGGACGCACGTCAAGTGACGGAAAAGTGCAATGAAAATGGCTACTTGAGTCGTACTTTTATTTATTTCAAGTCAATAATTTTATATTTGAAAACTGACGGAATGAAAATAATTTTATATTATTTATTAGAAGATATTTAAAAAAAATAGCATTTATTTCTCAGCAAAACTGACTAGCTACACTATCTGGAGTTTGACATTGACGTAAAAATGTAATGCAAAGGTGCGCACAATTTAGCATCGTCATAGCATCATCTACTCTTTATTCTCAATATCTTAATGATCGGGTGATATGACAGGGTCAATGATATAGATAGTTATATAGATTGACCATCCATGTTTTTTAAAATAAACATAATCTTATGCTTTAAAGTAAAAATGTAGGTATTTATTTATTTTTACTATATTCAAAGGTTGAAAATTGGTATTAAAACACATTTTTGCTAAACCGATTCTGATTAATGAGCACTTGCGAGGCAATATGGCCGCTCACAAAACAACCCGCGTTGAGTAATCTATACAATAATATATGTATCATTGACCCTGTCAATAACAGCAGGCTACAGGTTTGCCATATCTAAACTGTCAGTTTCCACGGTTCGTAGACAACACGCTGGCCTTATCCAATGAACTGGAGTGGGGTAGAATGCTTGTTAATAGGCTTGAGATGCGACTCTATGGGCGAAGACAGGTTATTTTCCATCTCACTCGGGAGTATTTATAACAACCATTTTCTATTTCACTTTATTATTGTCTGATCCACCCACTTGTGGATTGAACAATAACTATGTGAAACAGAAAATGGTTATTATAAATACTCCCGAGTGAGATGAGAAATAAAAATGGCTGCGCCCATAGAGTCGCATCATGTTCTAGTGATACAATATGCACATTGGCTTTCTACCCCACTCCAGTTCATTGGCCTTATCACGATTGCTAAGGACGCAGTGACGTCACAGAATGGAAAAGTATGTTGACAGAAAATATTTTACTTCGTGTAGTACTTTAGTTTTTTAACTCGTTCACTGCTCGTTCGGGCCAGGCGATTTATTTAATATGGGACAAAAGTTTTATTTTTTGGGCCAAGTTGCGCAGAGGTAGATATCCACGAGGTAGATATCCTACGAAAGAAATTTTAAAATTTACATTACCCATATAAAGAAAATCGTGGAAATGTGTCTCGGTCATATTGACCTAGCTGGCGCCGCATACTACTTATCGATTGTCTCACGCCAGCGCGGTCAATTCTTCGGCCAACGCACAAAAACAATTGATAACTTAGTCGTAAGTACTTGTTTGTTTTGTCTACATGTGTGAACAAAATCATGTCGCAAAATCGAAATTTTGACAAAAAAAAGACCACTCACCGAGCAAGAGCTATTTAATGTTTTGAATAATTCTGATTTCGAATGTATGTAGTGTTATATTGTATAAATAATATGGTAGATACCAATAAAATTCAAATGCTACAAATATATTTTTTGTATGCTAAGCTATAAAACCATTTTCAGGTTAGGATTATGAAATCCAAAAGTGTCAAAAGCAGAAGGTGATGAAACGAATTTGTGATTTAACTAAATTTGACACTTTTGTATTTCATATTCCTGACCTGACGATTGCTTTATAGACGAAACTAGTTGTTTGATATCCAAAATATATATTGTAGAATTTGACTTAGAGTTTTATTGGTATTAACCTTTAGCTACATTTGAGATATGGATAATCATTCGTATTTAAATAAAATGTCTTTACACATCACATTTTCTCTGCAATAAGTGATGATAACGAAGAAGAACACACCTTCCATTATAATGAGGAGCTAATGGCATATTCAAGTGACGGCGAAATAAATGAAGTTCCTCAGCAAATTGATTATGAAGGCTATGAACTAGCAGAGCTCCAAAATATAGTTGTTGAGGAGAATGAGCATGATGTTGAGTCTGCAGAAATATAAGACCCTGATAGTGAAGGTAACAGCGAAGACGTAGACATATGCTCTGATTCTGAAGATGACGGAATTCCACTTGCACGCCAAAATACTGACGACCATGAATGGAAAACACCACAAGGTAGGCAGCTTGTTCTTATCCATTTCACTAAAGAATCAGGAATTAATAAAAATCTCTTTGAACTATTGATTGGCCAGGAATCTTTTGAGTTCTATTCTGCATTGATTGATGATAATATATTTCAATATATTGTCGAGCAAACTAATCTATACGCCACAAAAACTATTATTAATAAGAACGATGTTACATCTCAAGCAAGAGTACACAATTGGTATCCGACAGATATGTACGAGATAAAACGTTTTTTTGGATTAATTATTTATATGGGCATAGTTCGTCTACCAAAACTAGCAGATTATTGGAACAGAGAACCGACGTTTAAAAACGAATTCGCTCCTACAGCAATGTCCCGAAACAGGTTTCAGTTACTTTTAAGGAACTCTGCAAAAGAAAATTGTAAGGGAATCACTGAACTTTCTTGGAGAGAAAAGCGGCATGTCCTGATGCTTTCTACAAAGCATTCAGATTTTCAAATTGAAGTTTGAAATCGTCGTGGACAAACAAAGAAAAAACCTGAAGTGATACTTGCCTACAACCAAGGAAAATCTCCCGTTGATCAGTCAGATCAAATTACATTATACCAATCACAAATTAGAAAAATTATTAAGTGGTATAGAAAACTGGCGATTGAGATTTTACTGAATACTGCAGTGGTAAACGCATGACTGATGATCAAAGAAGTCAAACATGTGGATACAGGCCTCCTCGAATTTCGAAAATCTGTTGCATATGCATATGTGATTCTAACGGCATGAAATATCCGAAAAAGAGATAAGCAAACGCAAATCATGTCGGTCGTGTTATGAGGCAGCAAAAGAAAATCGAGGCTGGTGAGTAGCAAGGAATTTAAAAAGGATTCGTACTTACTGCAAAGGATGTGAAGGTGAGCCTCATCTATGCATCCAGTGTTTCAACAAAAAACATCGCTATGGCGTGGAGTGAAACCTTACAAAATTCAAGATTTTTACTATTTTTTATAATTTTTCACGTTTTTCGATAATAAAAACTGCCTTTTTGTGTATATATGATTGTATTTTTTTATTTGCTATTTCTTAGCCGTTAAATCTGTACGCAAGAAACTGGCGGTTTCTTCCAGGCCGGCTCGGTCACTTTACACGATCAAAGCCATTAGATGTCGAGACTCTGGCTTGTGGGACACAAAAAACTGACTCGCTCATATTGACCGAGCTGGCGTGTAAGTGAAAAAATGTTCTCGGTCATATAGACCGCACCGGCTTGGATGACAGCTATTTTCTCGGTCATATTGACCGAGATGGCAGGGAACGTGTTAACAAACCTAATATTTTATTGTTATTTAGTGGTATTTTTATTTTTTAACTTTGTTCTGGTGTTAGAGTTTTTATAAAATCAGTAGTTTGATTTTTTGAAGTACAAGCTACAAAACAGTAAGGAAAAATCCATTAAATTTTAAATGAAATACTTTCTATTTGAATCATAAAGAGAAATATTATTGTGTGAATGGTTTATTTTAAATATTTTGGATAAGGGTACGGCCTCTGTGCTGATTCGGATCACTCTTTGTTTATATCCCGAAATATTTTGAATTTCTGGCAAGCCTGTAGCTAGTCTAAGAGCTAGCTGTAGTATTGCTGTTGCCTGCCAAAAGTGTCAAACAATTTTTAATTTTTACAGACAAAAATCGTTAGGAGTAATAAAGGGACTAACTAAACCTATTATTATGAAAATATCATTTACTATTATTAAATTAATTGCAGCTTTGTCCACCCTACATTTAAAAGCAGACGAGATGGTTTCTTACAAGCATTATATACAACAAAAAGCAAGAAAAGTCAAAGGCTTTACTAAAAGAACTTACATTATTAAAAAAAGGGTTTTCTATAGGAGGTTTTTGGTAGAAAGTAGTTACAAATAATTTTATAACAGAAACTAAGGGCCCGTTGGACTTAAGAAGAAACATAAAATGTATATTTATATCAGAAATATTTTGTCAGTTTCTAGGAAACAATAAAACAACAACAACAATCCAGTTTTATTATAATAATCTATAAATATAGGTACCAAATTAGAGAAAAACAGTTTTATCTATTATTTATTACATAGAATATACAGAGGAGATATTACATATACTTAAATAAATCATCTCAGATTTATTTTAGAAGCGCATTTTTGTAAAGTTGAAATCATCTGCAAGGGATACTTTCGAGTAATTCTGAGGTAAAAATAGCACCATTTACTCAAATATCTTCTCGTGAATGCTTTATAAACTTCTTCTCAACTCTAAAAGGCTCTTGTTTTCTTCTTTAAAATGATTTGTAGCTATGTTTATTTTACTAAAAACTTCCTGTAGCAAACGCTTTTTTCAAAAGTGTATGTTATTTTAGTAAAGTCCTTTGACTTTTTTGCTCTCAGTTCATTTTATTGTTTGTAAAAAATCATCTCATCTGCTTTTTAATGTAGGATGGACAAAGCTGTAATTAAATTATAAATAATGTATGATATTTGCAGAATAATTACTATAAAATCTTACCATTAGTCTTTAATTTCAGTTTAAGCTCAGTCCCTATATTTAATCTAACGATTGTGCGTAAACAGTAAAAGTTGTTTGCCAACAGCAAAACTACGGCTCGCTGCAGGATTACCAAAATTTTAAAATATTTCAGGATATAAACAAAGTGTGCTCCGAATTTAGCAAGAAAGTCGTACCCTAATCCAAAATGTTTAAAATAAATTATTCGCACAATAATATTTCTCTTTATAATTTAAATAAAAAGTAATTAATTTGAAATTTGATGAAAATCATTACATAATTTTTCCATGCCGTTTTGTAGCTTGACTTACCGATTTTATAAAAACTCCAACGCAGATGTATAGTCCAAAAATAAAAATATAAACACCACTAAATATTAATAAAATATTTTCTGTCAGCTCGATTTTTCATTCCAGGACGTCACAGCCTTCTTTAGCAACGGACGAAGAGGCCACCGTAGTGTCTACTAACCGTAGTCAGTTCCCACTTGTCAGCATTTTGACAGGTTGTTGAAATGCCTAATTAGGTATTCCAAACTGAATGGCTACCAGTGGGTTCTGACGGGTTATGATATGGCAAAATTATGGCAACCCTGTAGGCCTGGTGATTTGACAAGGTCAATGAAATAGATAGTTACATAGATTGATCATCCATATTTTTCAAAATAAACATAAGCTTATGCCTTGAAGTAAAAATGTAAGCAATTATTTTTTTTTAAATATCTTAAGGCTAAAAATTGGTTTTAAAACACATTTTTGCTAAACCGATTCAAATTAATAAATATTTGCCAGGCAATATGACCGCTCGTAAACGACCAGCTTTGAGCAATCTATATAACTATATGTATCATTGACCCTGTTAATGACAACATGACAACAGGGTTGCCATATCTAAACTGTCATTACCCACTGATAGCTATTTGGACAGGTCGTTGGAATGCCTAATTAACTTGTATTAATTTTGACAGTTTAGTTTTTCTGCTCCAGTTCAGGAAAACTTTTTTAAAGTTAAATATTTGGAAAGGAATTTACAATCTAGATGGGCGCCAGACCAAATGCAATATTTTTGCTATTTATCGAGAGCAAAATATTTCTTCATTAACAATTTAAAAGAACATCAAGAATTGCGAAGATGGTATATCTAAAAATGGTCAATCAAGAATTTTGAATCACGCCAAAAAACAAAAACTGATTAAAGACAAAGTTGGTGATTCACAGCGAAACTGTGTTCGAAGATTCGGTGTTTTAAAGACCGACAGTTTTAAGAATAATTAACGAAGGCACCTTGGCGCAATTGGAAAGAATTCCCAGATGTGTCCTACCCTAAGATCAATTCATTTTGTCGATATAATGATTGTTATAGGTGATATTTTGGGAAATAATTCACTCTATTCCAATCAGAGATGAAGAAAAATGATGAATTTTATACCGACGATTACAAAATACACCAAACAATGTCATGTTTATCCAAGTTTGAAGGCAACATTTATGAAGCGGGATTTATCTCACAACCTTACATTGGCCTTATCTGCAGAACTAAACTGCTTCAGTTTTTAAACGCACATGCTGTCAATGATGATACAGTGTTTTGGCCTGATCTAACTTAATGCCGTTAGGCTAAAGCAACTAAGACTAGTATAATGCAAATAACATAAATGTCCCTATATTAGAAAATCCTGCCAATATACCACAAGTTTGATTAATAGAAAATTTTGGGCCAATATTAAGCAGAAAAGTATAGAACAAGAGATGGGAAGTTGCAAACGAAGTCAAATTTTGACATCGCCTTTTTCAAAAAATTGAGGGCCATTGATGAAACGGTACATTTTCGTTAATTTAAATAATAATTATAAAAATAAAAAAAAACTATATTTAACATTTAATTATTTTCCAAAAACTACATGACCATACGTTAATGCGAATCGTAGGAACCATTTCGAAAACGGACAGAACCTCGAACAGAGCTGTCAAAAATTAGTTTAATAATCCTATTAGTTCCTGAATTAATACCCACTCATGTATAAAAAAATAAACGATTCAAAATAAGTACCTATACACAGTTAATGATTTCTTTTCCTATTTAATTAGATACTATTTGAGGTTTCAATGTGACATTATCATTTTTACCTTGATTTCTACGAATCAAAACGCAAATAAAAACCAACGACGACAGTCTCAGAATCATCCTCTTCGTTCTTCTATTGCAAGAAGTCGATCACTTGCTTTAATGTACGTTCCATAGTACGTAGACTTCGTCAATTAACTTTTATGTGGCAGACGTCCATCTGAAAAAAGAAAAAACAAGAAAAGTCTTTCAATTAAAGAGTCTCATAGTACCAATAGAAGTTCATTATTTGAATGCATTTAGAATAGATTTGAATATATTTATCACCAAATACCTATTTATTTCTATGTTTTTTAAGTCTGTTTCATTATCAGTTAAGAAAAACATTTTTTCTACACCCACATGGATATTTAGCTTATCTACGGACAGACTACAAAACTAGAAAGTATGATATTGGTTCAACTGAACGAATATATTTCATATCCATTCTAGGTAGTGAGAATACTGCAAAAAAAAATCCACCAATCATAGTTCATATTTTGGACACCCAACTACTATTTTTAAAAATTTAAATAAGTGACAATTCTAATTTAATATATAAAATTCTCGTGTCACGGTGTTTGTAATTAAACTCCTCCGAAATGGCTTGACCGATTTTCGTGTGCATATCAGTTAGGTCTGCGAATCGGACAATATCTATTTTTCATCCCTTAAATGTTAAGGGTGGTTAACCACTAAATTTTTTTTATTTTTTAGACGAAATTTTATGTTTTTATTTTTTATGACAGCATACAAAAATACATACAACCCTTAATTTTCACCCTTCTAACCCATATTTTATTTGTTAATTAAAAACTTTATAGTTAACATATTCACCTCAGCTGAGCAAAACATCTGTTGTGTCAACAAGTTTCTTTATCAAACTTTAAAAATAACTTCTATATATTTATCTTTTCAAATGACTTTGCTTAGCTGCTTTACATTCTCTTCCCTATGTCCCACTTTCTCTAACAGGTGTTAATTTATGTCATAATTTTCTCTTAATCGGTAACACAATAAACCACGGCATAAGAAACAATCGGCAGGCTAACTTGTTTTGGCGGCAACGCTACGCGCACATCTACGCGCACACCGTTATTTTGGGGTCCAACCTCTCAATCAAGCCAGTGGCGTCACTGTCGTCGTTTATATCGACAAAAACAAACAAGTTGCAGCAGCTCGGAATCAGTAGCGTGGGTCTTAAATGTATTTTGTTTGTGATGTGTGTATTATGTAGTTATTGTTATTGTTTTAGAATTATATATATTTTTTGACACTTTTTATATAGTAGTTATTTTCCAGTGTTAATTTGTTAACTTTTACGTGTTTTACTGTCTGGGCAAAGTTGTGCAGCAAAAACCTATATGAATAAACTGTATTAAAAGATTTTTTCGGTTTCTTAAAGATCCTATTAGGTAGGTATGTATGGTATACTTAAAAAAAAAAATCCTAGGTTTTGGGTCAGTTTGTCAGTTATAAACCTATTAGTAAGATGTAGGTAGGTGCCTAGTTAACATCACGTAAAGTTTAGCGTCCATTTATATTTACTTATGTAGGTACATTTTTAAGATTTAAAGTAAAATGTTATATTTTAAACATCTCCTGTATGGAGTTGACAAAATGGAAAAATCTTTATTTTTATTTTAAGGAAGAAGTCATTATAAAAAAATTCTGTTTGACGAAAAAATAGGTTTATTATATTAATATGTTAGGTCAGGTGTACAGGGTCTTAATAAATGAAGAAACTTGAAATTAACAAAAAAATCTGTATTACCTATTGATTTTACGAAGAAAAGTCACAGTTTTCCTGTCGGTTTTCCTTCATAACTTTAAAAGGAAACTTTTAACAAGCAGAATTTTTGTAAGGAATGGCTTTTTTTTCAGAAAAAAATGAATATTAATCGTAATTGTATTATTCCCAAATATTGAAATGCTTAACAAAAATTTAATTTTGATAATAATTATTCTAGATATGCGAATAACAAAGCTTTATAATCTTAATAAATCTAAAGTATTTTCATTACAAAAAGCAAGAAAATCTTAATTAGCCATTAAAGAAATTATAAGTAGTAAATTAAAAATTAGTAATGAGTCTCGTACAATCAAAATCATGTTTCTTAAGCAGTTTTTCGCTTTCAACGATTTATGGCCGGAACTCTTATTTTATTTGGCACGATTATAGAAAAATTTTGTTTGTTTTATGTTATTTAATATAGTTGTTTATTCAGAAAATGTATATTTTTTTTTATTGTTGTAACCAATAAAGATTCTACAAATAATATTTAGTTGTTACAATTTTGTATTATTGATTTTACACTTCTAAAATTATTTAACATAAAATTTTACATTTTTATTTGCATTTGTTAATACGCCTGAGATGCGTATTAGAAAAATGCTATTAAAAATGTAAAATTCTTATATTTTGTCGAAGTAAATTAAAAAGCCCGCCAATTTTCAAACTAAAATAGCATTACATCTTTCTATATTACCGACTGAGTATTAATTTCACAAAACTTTTCCATATGTCGCTGAAGGTAAACATGCTGCCAAATTCCTGTGAGGAATCTGCAACTCTTAATTATCCTTCCTCCGTGATGGTAACTGTGTAAACCCTACATGCATCGGTCCAATTTCAAAGGACGTTCAAAAAATTGCAATGTTTAAATTTATTACATTCTGGAACTAAAAACTGCGAAACAGGTGGGGATGCTTTACTTGTAAGGCTGCATGAAATTCGTAGGACTAGTAAGGATGAGCCACTTTCCAAAAAATGTCTTAAAATTCACAGTTGCGACGTATGTACACAATATGTCTTACCACACGAAGACTTGGATACAAGCTCCACGTATTATTATAAACCATACAAAAAAAGCAAATGAAGATATTTTTGGCAATTTAAAAATATCAAATAATGGTTTTGTATGTTTTGTTAATAACAAAAATTGAAATAATTTTTCAACAGGATTTTGAATTATTTATCACTAAATCCGGCTTTTGTAATTATTTTTTAGATTTAATTAATTCCGAGAAAACATTTGACTCTCCATGTCCCCGATTTCCAGAAATATATGTTATAAAGTTATATTTAGGACTACTCATATATTACACTTTAAAAATATTAATAGAAATTTTAAGTCCATTAATAAAAATCGGCTAATTATTTGGCGCAATCTGTCTTTCTTAATGCTATTTTTATGTCAAGTTAAAATATATTTTATGTAAATTTTTACTTTTTTGTTTTAATACGATCCTGTCTAGCAATACCTTATTTTATTACAAAATCTTTAAATACGCTTTAATCCGACCCTGACTAAGACCCCCAAATGGCGTCGCCAAGGTCAAATTTTCTTAGTATAATATTTGTATGCGATCAGCGGCAAGTGAGCCTGCCGATTGTTTCTTATGCCGTGCAATAAACACTAGCCGACCCGACTTAAACGCCGCCACTGTCGCGTCACGTATTGCTTTTGAAGATATCATTCGTTATGATTTACGACCTCATAAAATAAAGGTAGTTCTTTTACTTTAACTTTGGACTAAATAAATATAACATTTTAGTTTAAAATAATATTTGAGGCATTTCAAATACGGTGTTTGTTTTTTAAAAATATATTTCCAAATAATTTTCAATTTTAATAAATGTTTCAGGGTGTAATAAAAGTAACTGTTTATTGTCTATATAGGCACTAAGCGCCAAATGACAAGGGGCGCCTAGAATAGTTAAAACACTATAAATATTTGGTGTTATACGAGCATGTAATACCAAAACTATTTTTAAATTGTGAATCGTAAAAATTTGCTCTGTATGTAAATAAATTTGTATTTTCTTAAACCTCTGTTGTAAATATGTCAACGCTTGTCTCCGAATGTTTCTAGGGTCCCCAAATAGGTGCTAAATAATAAATAAGACGCATAGATAGCTAATAATTGGTTTATTACTTAGTTCCTCTCTAGAGTATCTTTTCGGTTCCACATATGTGAACCGCAAATGGCCCGTTTGATCTATTGCCATTATTTACGTTGCTCTCTCTAGAGAGAGTGTGATATGTTACGATATATTTTGAAGTTTAGTTTAGATGGTTTTTGGTTCTAATTTTGGACGTATATACGTTGAAATTTGTATAAACAAACAATTTAGATATTTTACTTTTACATCGTGATCATTAGATCTTAATATAGTATATTATATTACGAGTGTGGAAAGTGACATTTTTCACACGAGTGGGAAAATCACTTTTCACACAAGTGATGTACAATATTTTTCCTACGACCACAAAATAATTTCGTTAAATAATGTAAAAACAGGTTATTATTATAATAATTAAAATGTATTTAAAAAAATAATCAACAATAATCGTATTTCTTCAATTTTCATATTTTCTAAACAAAAAAAAATTAAAAACAAAAAAAAAATTAAAAAAAACAAAAAAAAAATTCTGGCCCCGCCAGGATTTGAACGCGGTTGCTCGCCAGGTCTCAAATGGCAAAGTTGATAAGTTTGACACTGTAACCAGCTGAGCTAATAGGCTTTACGTCAATTGAATGAACTAATCGGTTATGTGTTTAACCAGAATAAAAAGCAAACATATCTTAGATATTTTAAAATTATTTTAATAATAATTGTTAAAGATAAATATCTGAGATCTAATTTACAACAATTTCAATAATTTAACAAATCATATCGATTTTAGTATTAATATGGACATTACATAGATTAAAATAGAAATGATGTGTTTGACATTTTGTGACAGCTGCTGCGGAAAGTAACATATTCGTACACGGGTGGAAAGTACATTCTTATTCATACGCGTGTGATATAGGGCACTTTCCATAGGACTATATAGTGTGATATGTGTTACTTTTCTAATTGGTAGTAGGAAAACTTAATAACTTTAATGAGTACTTTTTTGTAATATTGCTGATTCTTTAAATAGGTTATTAACCCACTACTAACTCACCTTCGAATTTTTTTTAACTGAAACCATCGAATTTCAACTAATAAAAAATAAATATTTCTCCGGATATGATGAAATTGCTTTTAAAAAAATATCGGACACTACATACGCTTTCTGTACTATACTCTGTTTTTAAACTAGGAGGAGCGAATTGAAAAGACGCATTTACACAGGGAAAAGTAACTAGATTTGTACTAAGAACGAGTTTCGAAATATAGTCGTGTTC